AAAGTCAGTGAAATTATGATTGTATGAAAAACACACTCTTTTTATATTTTACATGATTTACTTGTCAGTATAACAAAACATATTTGTTATGAATAGATCCACAATCTACAAAATATTCTCACATGGTGTTGAATTAACCCTTTGACCGGCCAGGGTTTTTGTTAAGAAAGCATAAATTTCCCAAAACTACTATGAGAAAAATTATTTTCTTGATTTTAATGCAAAAATTCTCCTTTTATTTTATACCTGGATTTGTGTACTTTTAATATATTGCCCTAATTTATTTGACATATTTTAATGTGCATATATATATATATACATATATATTACGGTCTTATAGATACCAAAAAAAAATATTCTAGGCCTTGCCAGTTAGAGGGTTAAAATATTTTCAGGAGCAACATCCGAAACACCTGTTACTTTAAAAGCATGAAATGACTTTTCTTAAATACATATTAGTATGATTGTAAATATTACTAATCAGAATATTATCTTACAGTTATCATAAGATTTTAGATGAATGATTAACCTTGTGTTTGGGTCATGTGATTTGCATCAGTTATCCCTATAAGCACTTATTGTGCTTCATTCTTAAAAAAATCTCACATATATGTATTTCTAAAAAGGGTATTTTTCTTGCAAAGGTGTGTATCTGAATATTTTTCTTCGTCAAAATGCAATTTATAAAAAATCTGCTAAAATGTTAAATCTTGATTTCTTTTGATTTAAATTTTTCTATAGCTTAAATAAGCTTGATCTTTATCTTCCTGGAGCAGCATGATTATTTGTCTCCAAGTGCCATTTATTGGGTGAATAACTCAGTGTCTTTGTTTACGAAGTTATCAAATCTTGTATCAAATTGCTCAGTTCATCTTCATGTAATGCCCACCAGTGGCCGAGCGGTAAAGTCGCTGAACACTGGTAGTTCGGTCCGAGGTTCGAATCCCATGAACGGGCTGGCTGCATGGGTGTTTTCGTGGTTTTCCCCATGTGTAACGTGTATACGAGCTAATTTCCCTTAGAAAGCCCTCCACGAAGGCATCCCTTCCCTTAGGCAGATAGCCCTAGTGTGCTTTGCCATAATTAAATACACACACACATCTTCATGTAAATTTTAATCAATACCTAATAAGCTAATAAGGCATGAACATGATAGTGATTTTTTGATTAGATTGGATTATCTCTTTATTTTAGTTTACTAAGAAATACTTTAAAACTCTTTCTTGTGCCCTGGGAAGATAATTTCCCACCTACATGATCCTATGAAATACACTTATGGGAAGTGCAAAAGCCACTATAATATATTGGCCTTACTATTATAGCATTTGGAACACTAATTCCCACTTCAATTTTGTGTGGTAATCTATTTTCAATTGATTGAAACTGGATTAGCACATTTGTTTCTGAAGTTCTAACGTGTTGTGTGAGATCTGTTCTACTGTAATACCTGTTTTGATGTAACATTTGTAGTGCTCATGATTTTACTGCAGATGGGAGTAAAACACTTTATTATAATAACACTTTCTTATTTTGTATATTTCTGCATATTTTGTGCTAGTAACTATCTAATATTAATAATTAAATAATGGGTGAAATATGAAAATGCTATAGCATTATATATAAAAGGCCACATGCAATTTGTATGTGTGAAAAATTAGAATATTTAGTTACAAAAAATATGTTTTTATAAGAACTAAAGAAAAGATTGTTTTTATTGTGAGTATATTTACTTGTTTCTGACATATCTGCGAATTTTATACCAGTAACTGTCTAGTAGTGAATAATAAGTAATACAACTAACTGCAGGCCCTAATTTAGGGATAGGCAAAGTAGGCAGCTGCCTATAGCAGCACTTTTGGGGGGGGCACATTTTCAAAAATGAAATAATTTGAACTATAACAGTGCCAAAAAAACATACTCTAAAGAAGCTTCTTTTTGAGGGGTTGGAAAATTTTACACTCATAAATTTCTCATAACTTTCAGATGAGCAAGAAGAAGTATTTGTCCACATCAGCTGCTTTGGGTATGCTGTTTAGTCTTCCTAGTTACCCAGATGATTCTGTAGTAGAAGCTGATGATGATGCGTTTTCAGAATTAGAATCGCTAGAAAATCTAGATAAACCCTAGCACAAGTTTTGGAAGTAATTTTTTTATGACTGAGGAATCCTTCCCTGGTGATGACAATTCTTCTGAAAATGATGATGAAATGAATGAAGAATGGATTAATAAAGTAGATTTTTTCGACGATATTGCCTCTTTTATATTGAGCTAAACCTGAAAATATCATTCAGTTCAACTGAGAAGGAAAAGGCTTATTCCAGCATGATTTTACTCAAGAAATTTTACAGAATATTGTTAATGAAAGAAATTCATATGCAAAGCAGCCGAAGAAAGGATGAGATTGGGTCATTGTCATAAAAGACATTGTCTTGAACTGGAAAGAAACCACATCAGAAGAACGGAAAGCATTGATAGGTATGCATATAACTCATGGGTATACGTCAATTGCCTAAAGAACTACTGGAGCACAGACCCTATTCTCAATGTTCAATCAGTAGCAAGAGTAATGACTGCAAAGCATTTCAAAAAAATAACTTAGACTTTACATGTAAAAGGTAATAGCATGAATCCACCACATGGGCAACCTAGGACTCCTAAACTTGGACCAATCTTCTCACAACTATATGATTCCTTATCTAAAGCCTACGAACCTTCATCAACCTTATCAATAGATGAATGTATGATAGCTTTCAAAGGGAGAACTTCATTGAAGCAATATAAGTCATTGAAGCCCATAAAAAGGCATTACAAGATTTGGTGTTTAACAGATAAGACTGGATATGTTCAGAAATTTGAAATTTATTGTGGAAAGTAAACTTCTTATAATAAGGCTAAAAAATTAAGTTTAGGGCAAACAGTAGTTACTAAACTAATGAAAGATGTGAAACAAACAGATTACTTTATAAGCCTATGATAACTATTTCACATCTTTCAGGCATGCAGAAAATCAACTTGTAAGTGGTTTATTTTCTGTGGAGACTGTGAGGCCGCAAAGGAAGGATCTTCCACCAATGCTGAAAGCTAATAACAAACTATAAAGAAGTGAATCGGTGTTTGTAACTAAGGAAGGTGTTGTAATAAAGTGGATGGACAGTAATGCTCTCACTTTGTTGATTACTGCATGTAATTCAGCGATTATTACATCTGTGAATCACACAAAAAAGGATGGCGCTAAAACAGAAGTACCTTGACCTAAAGCTATCACTATATACAACAGTATCATGGGAGGGGTTGATCACTTTTCTTGAAAAAATACGAAATAGAAAGAAGATCCATAAAGTGGTGGCATCACATTTTTTATTTTATTATTGACCTTGGCATCATATATAGTTTTATACTGTAGCAAGTAAACAAAAGAAACAGAAGTTTATTCCTACAATCTGCATAGCATCAGCTTGTCAGCTAATAGATGGATATTCCTCAAGAAAAAGGAAAAGCGGCCTTGCTAGCTTCCAAGGAAAGTGCTTTGTTGTAGATGATGTGCACTTAGCCATTGTGGGAAATCGTATACCAAAAATTGCTTTCAGCTATAGATGGTGCACGAAATGTAGTACAAAGGCCCGAGAAAAGAGGACCCGCTACGTTTGTGCAGGATGTAATGTACCCTTGTGCATTGCAACATGTTTTTCAGCTTTCTGTGGTAAATAATTGACATTAAATTGAATTCTCTGTACGACTATATAGGGTTCCATTAGAAATATACTTTGCACCCCTAAAAATGTGAATGAAAAATTCAGCAAAATAAAATATATTTTTTTAAGTGCTATTGTTTAATTGATAATAAAACACAAAAAATTGGGAGAAATTCAAAAGAGAAATAAATGCCCATGAAAAGGGTTAATGTGTCAGCGAAATTTGCATATTATTATCAAATCTTATTTTTATAATTTGGAATTTAATTCTTTCATGTGTCTTCTGGCACTTAAACAAACAAACAAAAAAAAAAAAAAAAAAAAAAAAAAAGAGAGAGAGACAGAATGAATCACATCCTCTGATTTTTTTTCATTTGGTTGATTTTATTATCTATTTTATCCCTAAAATTTACTTAACTCAGTTAAAATAATAGGACATACGTTCATAATTGAGAACATCTTCCAAATGAAGCTCAGTCAGATTTAATGATTTATTTAAAGTTCTTCCCCTCCAAAAAGCAATACTTTGCATATATTTGTGTGAGTGTGTGTTAGTGCAAACAAAAATTTTAACATTTGATGATAACATGTTTAAAACTGAATTGAAGATTGTTTTCAGTTAAATTATCCTTCTAATAGCCGGTGACTATTGCTGAATCAGGTTTGACTCTACTTCTTAAACTAGCTTTAATTAAGTGGTAGTTCATGGCAAATATGTCCCATCTGAGAGCCCACCTACAAAGAAGTGATAAAGTTGCCGAATACAGGTAATTTGACCTGAGTTCAATTCCTGTTAAACAAGCTGGCTGCATGGTGTTCCCCCCATTGTAAAGTGAATGTAAGCCAGATTCCCTTAGAAAGTCTTCCACAAAGGCACCCCTTCCCTTAGGAAGGTAACCCTCATGTGCTTTGCCATAATCAAATAAACCAAACCGCCCCTTCTGAAAAAATGCTGTCTTGCAATAATTTACAGTTGGGCAGACTCTGATTGAGACAAAGAGTTTGCAAGCCAGCCTTGCTGTAACTAGACCACAGATATTGGGTTTCATTGCTATGTATACGCAGCTGCAAACAGAATTTAAAATATTTATGGAGATTTTCCTGTTAATCATTTCCCAGTGAATTGAGACAGTTTAATGATCTGTACAACTGAAAATTTACCAGAATTAAGTCAGCTATGACTTAATGTAGTCACCAATTTTAAAACCTTTTAAAAAAGTAAATTTGAATAATTTCTGTTGTATAAAGAATAATTAGCATTGTTATTATTTTTAAAGGATAATTATTCCATTGTTATTATTTTTAAAGGATGTGGATGATAAAATTCCTGAGCTCACTGTTAAAATGCCAATGGATGCTGATGATAAGACTCATGAATTATGCATCAGCATGCCAACTGAAGAGAATGATGTATATTCTTCTCAATTTAGATCTGTTTTGCTGTAAGTTACTTGTCTTTAAAAGTTCTTTTTTTTTTTTTTTTTTTTTAAAGCATTATATCTTAAAACTCTTCCAGTCAGTAATATTTTTCTTGGCACTAAGTAAATACATGTATATGCTATGTGAAATTTGTCCAAACAGTTACACCAATTTATCCATTTAGTGATAGGGACAGATTGGAATTTTAATTTTAAAAAATACCCACTTTCTAATGATTTAGGAAGTCAGGGTTCGTAGCAGTCCTTAAAGTGCTTATAAGTTTTTATATTTGAAAATAAAATATAAAGGCCCTAATAGGTGCTTACTTTTTCCTTAAAGCCCTTATTTTTTTGTTTTTAGTGCTTTTTTTTTTTGATGAACGTGCTATTTTTCCTCGTACCAAAGCCGAAACTAAATGAACAACTTTTCTTCCTGATATGGAATGTCAGATGATGAATCATACTCCTGGAAATAGCTTTTCCCCCTTTCTCTGCATTAACATAACCTTTGGTGTGCACGAAGAGTACAGACAGGTGCCCGTCATTCTATTGGTCAAAGAATTGCGAAAGCAGTAGAAAATTCCAGTACATTCGGCATTCTTTTCCTCCCACCCAAATACTACACATGTTTGAATTTCTATCAAGATCTTAATAATTTGCATTCTCATTCGCTTGGTCAGTTCATATTTGTGTTTATTATGATCATTATGCTTATATTATGAGCATATGTATGAATGTTTATAATAACATGGTTGCGGTAACTGCTGAAGTATAGTAAACTTCCAAAAATGGTTGTGTTTTAACACATATTAGATTTTTAAGAAATAATATTCGGAATGGCTTAAATAAAGGGAAAGTAATCGAATAGTCAAAATAATTTCATTTTTTTGGCCAATACATTATACAGTACGAAGATTGGGAGGTTCTCCGCAAAATCTCGAATATTGAAACTGTTAAAGTTCGCTGCAAAACAAGCAACAGACCCCTTTCCCCCCCCCCAGTTTCCAATCTGGATTGAATAGGACTAAAAGTTCTGCGGTCTACCAACCCAAGCGAAGAATGATTCTATTCCGGAAATTTAATGCCGTCTGTTGAAAATTAGAATGAAAACCACCCCAGTTATTTATTCTCCCAATACCGGCAGCTGTTGATTCCAATTGCGTAATATCACATAGGGAAGAATTACGGCACACGTATTGCGCAATAACGTTTGCGATATTTTGCAGAGATAATTAATTTTGATGTTCTGTCCGAGATTTGTTCATGAACACTTAAAAGAGTTTTACTGTGCTTGCTAAGCAGAATATTTTTCAGTTCCATTGGTTTATTTTTATATGATGCACGTATCGAAATGTCAAAAGCATTTATTTAGCGGAAAAATCTAAAGAGCGGCTACAGTCTACTCCCTTCCTCCGCTCCTCTTTTTCAAATTACGTTCGACTGTCTGAATATTCGCCAATAATGGTTATCATGGGCATGCAATACTGTAACTGTCTGGGTTAACATTCATGGAATTGACATTTTATAATGTAGGATGAACACTAGTTATTATCATGTGACTGATGAAATAAAAATGATATCCTGAAAGCGTTTTGGAATAGAATGATATTGCATTTAAGATACTCTCATCAGGGAAGGCTTATGCTGAATGGCTGTACAAAAATGACAGATTATGGCAACCAGTATTGTAGATCATCAGATTTACATTGTAGCCAGAAACATTAAAAATCAGTAATATAATGAAATCAATAATGAAAAATCAGTAAATATATATGTACGTGGTAAGGAGTTTCTGGTAATATTAGGTAAAAGTCAAACTTCATGATATTGATTTATTGTTTTTTATCACATTAGATTTTGTGGTAGTGGGAAATTCTATTGTTTAGAGCAGAAATTTTCAAGATATGCCAAAATTAACTGTAACCATGATAAAATATTTGTTTTAATATACTATGAATGCTTTTCAACATGAGTTATATTGCAAAATTGCTATAGATTCCTTGCTTTTTGCACTACTAAACCTCCCCGTACTTTATTCTAGCTGTACTTATATTGTGTTTCTCATAGGATAAAATGTTAAGATTGTGTTTTTAATATTTTTATGAAATTTTGCTGTAACAGCATATGTACCACTCATTTTATATATTTCTTTAAAATATTTCTTAAGTGCAATGATAAAAATTATTTAATTTAGACAAAATGTTATTAATGGTGCCGGAGCTGAAGGAAATTTAAATCCTCAAGTAGATGTTCAGCCTAATGGTGCTGTTGGATCTGAAGATGATGCTAGATGTGAGTGTCATCCTGAAGCAGAAGCAGAGCCTGAAGTAGAAGCAGGCACAGAAGCTGATTTGGCTGAAGCTGATCAGTCACCTGGACAGCAAGGAGCTGTAGGAGTTTCTGCATCCATTCCTCTTACTGCAAGTGATAACTGGTCTTTTGATCAAGCAGCTGTTGTACTAGGTCGAAATGTGAATATTTCTAATACTGCTGTTGTTTCAAATAATGAAGATGTTAGTGGAATATCTGATGATGCTTCAGAAATATTGCTAGGTGCTCAGGTAATTTTATGCAAAATTTATGCTTTCCTCATAATTGTATTTTTAATGAACTTTCAGGTAGTGCATGTAAAATCTACAGAATAATTACTGCTGGATGAATAATGTTCATTTGGAATTGTTCAATTCTTGGCCATATAAAAGTAATTAAAGTATAACATTCTTTTCCTGGTGCATTAATTTAACATATTTTTTTTTAATGACAAATTGGCACTACACCTATCCCACGATTTACATGGAAGATTGGTTCCACACAAAACCATGTAAATCAAAATCTTGGATTTTGCTATGTAAAACCGTGTAAAATGAAACACACACTAAATGTGCATAATTTAGTTATATATTTACACAAAACAAAAGTAAGACATCTTAAAATAAAGTTATACAGTACAAAGTCTGAGATCCGAACTCGTCAGGACTTTGATGATTTGCAATTTGGGATTTTTCCAGATATTAGATTGTCAGTTTAAGATGGCATGTGGAAGTGATAAAATTAAAAATATGAAATCGCGATTAATGAAATAATGAAGCACTTATGATCTAAAGCAGCGGTTCTCAACCTTTTAACTAACGCGTACCATCTAATCAAAAATTGAAAACCTTTTGTACCACCACTCTTGAATAAAGCTCAGGTGCATAAATTTACGAGTGTTGCAGAAAAACTCAATCAGGAAGTTGGGGTTTAAATTTTTGAATTTAATAGTTAAAAATACTTTGCATCTTTGCGTGCCACCCATTTTTCTCTTGCATAGCACCGGTTGAGAACCCCTGATCTAAAGGGTACGTAAATTTACAAAAGCTTAATATTTATTTGTTTACTTTAAATATTTCTTTCAATATAACTTGTTTAAGTTGCTTCTTTTTTTTTTTTTTTTTTTTTTTTTGTGCTAAAACTTTCTTTGAAATTCTGTAGACATACATAATTTGTTTAGTTATATAGTTGAAGTCCTGTAATTGGTGTGTCGAGAATTCCGACTAATTTGTCAGTCGAAATGTTTTCGTTTTCAGTAACCTCTCTGTCACTTTCTTAATATTAGTAGTGGTATTTTCTCGATCTAGAACCATACTATGATTTCTCCATCCATTAATTGATTGCTGCTTGAGAAGCATTGTCATCACAATGAAAAAACGTTTTTTAATATCAGCTTCATTTATTAGCTCTTCTTCACATTTCTTTACAAAGTCCGTTAATTGGAAAATTTCACCTTTGGTTTGCGACTTTCACTTTCAAAAACCTTTAAAATTCGTAGCTACAATCATAAAATTCAGCTGTTCTTCGCTGTAGATATTTGCCTATGTATCATGAGATTGGCGACTAAAGACAAGTTGTTCCATTAAATTATCTTGCTTCTATCATGTATTGAAACAGTTATACCTGACCTGTGGGTTACAGCTGAAAACATCGCAGGCGAAAACGTCACTGAGAAAACAACGCAAGGTGTAAACTTCGCGGCACAGAACATCGTGGGAGAAAATAAAGCAAAGAGAAATCGCAGTTCTAAAATAATGTGGTACAAAATATCATTGACAAAAATAAAGCGGTTCAAAAACTTCGCAGTTTAAAATTATCGTCATCAAAAATATCATGGGAAAAAATAAAATACCTACAAATCATCGCATGAGGATAACATCGCAAACATGCGTTTTTCAGGCTTTAATAATTTTAAATGGATGTCTGCATAATGATTTGTGAGCACAAGATGGAAAGAGCAATAATTTTTACTTTCATATTTTCTATTAACTAATAAATTTATAAAAAAACAGAACAAGAAATTTAAACAAAAAAGAAATAATAAATAATATTTTTTTGCACTATAAAAGTAACAGATTAACAAAAGTGAAGAAAATAATCTCATAATTAACTTAGCAATTTTTTAAAGATAGGGGCATGCAGTTACTTATTTCCTTTTTCTAATCATTTTTAGATTATACTTTTCAAGAAAAATTACCAGTAAAACCTTTATAAAAAATAATTCATTAATGTTCTTTGTTAGTTAACTATGTCAGTTTAAAATTCTATTTTAAGTGCCATAAGTTGCATTATTTTTCTATGCTTAAGTTTCCATTTTACATTTCCATGAAATATTGATTAGTTAATAAAAAAATATGAAAATAAAAATTATCCTTCTTTCCATCTTGCGCTCACAAATATTTCTGCGAATATCCATTTAAAATTATTAAAGCCTGAAAAACGCATGTCTGCGATGTTATCGTCATGCGATGTTTTGTAGGTACTTAATTTTTTCCCATCTATATTTTAGATGACGATGTTTTTAAACTGAGAAGTATTTTAACCTTTTTTTTTTTTACAACGATATTTTGTACCACGATGTTTTAGAACTGCGATGTTTTTTCTTTGCTTTGTTTTCTCCCACTATGTTTTGTACTGCGACTTTTTTGCCTTGCGATGTTTTCTCCGTGACATTTTCACCGGACACCAACCTGTGTTAGTTTAATTATTTATTATACTTATGTGTATTTCTTGCACATGCTTAAGGCTTATCTAAGTCCTGGATATCTTACTGCCTGATGCAGTCTCTGCAGGTCCTGAATTTAGGAGCGTCTTCCCAAAATTCTGCTGCCCGTTGTGGGCATATGAGTCCTGGTGCTGGTTCTGTGTTTATAAGAATAACAAATCAGTTATTATTAATTCAAAGAGCACTAAATGTAATCTTTTGTCGTATGAGTATCATTAACAAAATCTATTTGTAGCATATGGAAAGAAATTTTTCCTTGTCAACATTTCGTAGCACATTTAACTTTAGCACATATGTAATCATCGCTAAGCGTAATGTCAACACAAAAGGTTACTGTACTCTTCGTTATTCTATTACTAACATAAAAAAAATGTTTAGGCATTCCTTTATGAGTCATTACTCAATTTGTCATGTGTTGATAAACATGCGGTGATGAAAGAAAAATGCAATAAATAATGATTTGCCAGGTAAAATATTAGTATGTGTAAATTCAACGATTTATCTATGTAAAATATTTCAGTTTCAGATGTAAGCCAAGCAGGCAGTTTGGCAGCTACAGAGCCAAATTACTGATGATGGAAATTTATGCTAAAATGATTGTTTCTTTTATAATGAGGTATTTTATTTAGTGCAGAAGGGAAATTAAGAATCACGACTCTCCACATGTTTTATTATGTGCAGGGGGGAATAAAATGCACATGCGTAAAGCATACAAAAAATGTTCATGGCTTTGGGGAATTTTAGATCATTTTGGATATTAGACATCCGGATGTCAGACTTTGTACTGACTTCTTTCATAAAATAATAAATATATGTAGGTAATAGAAGCACATATTTAATTTATTATGCATTAGGAATATATAAGATCATTCAAAGAAATTATTATAAGTTTAATCACTCTCATGAACTATTAGTCTTTTCTTCTTGATTGGTATGATGTCACTTTCACACTTGAACGTTCTTGATAAGATTCTGCTTCAATGGTTGACGAATTATGGAAGATCTCAGATTGACAAGACTTTGGAGTGAAATCTGTAATTAACAATTGCCTAGGTTTTTTTTTTTTTTTTTTTCCCCTCCTGTTTCCCTGAATCTTTGTAAACCTGATATTGATTTAAACACTGACTAAGCTCCCGTTAGAATCAGAAAGCTTGTTCAACATTCGCGTCAAATTGAAAAATTGATTACCTAATTTTCTCCCCAATTTAAGTCCTATGGTGATGACTCTTGCTATGAATGGAACTGTTCCAGATTGCTCTTCATCAGAATCATCGTCTTCATCATGTTTATTTGTTTCATGAATCATGTTATTAAACTCATCATTTAGTTCTTCATCAGGCATTATTTCTTTAATATCTGCTTGAGCTAAATCTTCAAAACCTTCTCCTCCTATAGTTTGGGGCAATTTAGTGATCTGAGAATATTCATGCTCTACTGGTAATCTTATCATTCTCATCTTTACCAGCATCTGGCCATATTGCTTTCCAGTATGTGCTGAGCGTTGACTGTTTAATCTTAATATATGATAGTCCAATATGCTTAACACAATCTAAGATTGTAAATCTCTTCCAAGCTTCCATAAGAGTAAGAGATTCATCATTCTCCGTTTGTTCTAAAATATACTTGAAAGTTGATTTGATATACAACGCCTTAAAAATCGAAATTATTCCGATCTAACGGCTGTAATAAGGAAGTTGAATAAGTAATAAAAAACAGCGTAATAAGGAAGTTACCTGAAGGTTTGTTTAATAAACAATACCTTAAAAGTCGAAATTATTCCCTGATGTAACAGCTGTAATAAGGAAGTTGTATTTTTTGGTAAAAAGACAACTTCTACATTTTCGAGTTTTAAATCTTGTGGATGACCAGCTGCATTATCAATTAATAGAAGAGCCTTAAAAGGCAATCCCTTTTTACTTTAATATTTTTTTACATATGGAAGAAACATGTTATGAAACCATTCATTGAAGGCTATGGCAGTGACCCATGCTTTCTTATTAGCCATCCAATAAATGGAAAGGCTATTTATGTATATTCTTTTAAATGAGTGTGGTGTTTTTGATTTATTCTTAACCAATGGTTTCATTATAGAATTGCCTGAAGTGTTGCAACAGAAAAGACCACTTTTCGCTACCATTATGACCACTAGCTGATTTGTAAGTTTTAGCAAAATAGGTTCTTTCAGGATATTTCAGGTTTAAGTAGGTTCTTTCAGGCATTTTTTTCCCCAGAACAATGCAGACTCGTCAGCATTGAAGGTCTGATCAGAAGTGTAGAAGTTAGCGGCAATGATTTCAGCAAATTTTGCTGGATATTGTTGTGCTGCATCCGAATCAGCAGATACACTTTCTTTTTTCAATCTTAGATTATGTATAGAATGTCTTTGTTTAAATCTCAAACCAACCATGACTTGTGTAAAAGAAACCTTTTCTTCATCTGATGAAGTCGACGGTGACTGATTCTTAAGTGCTTTATAAATCTTTAAAGCCTTATTTGTAATAGCATTAATATCAGTTGGAAACCATT